CAAAAGTAGACAAATTCACTTACTTCTTAAAATTTTCCTGGCTCTCTAACTATGCAACAAGAGCCTTTACAAATTCATCCAAGCTAGTCGTCAACTTTCCTGTGGGAATGATGTTGCTACTCTGAGTGAAACTGACATTTATCTGTTCAGAACACAATGTTATACAATACGTCATTTGATAGATGAAAACCTTGACTTTCTATTGTTTATAGGTAATATATAATGAAACGTAAGAGAGAACTATCATTGAATTGTGAAAGAGAGGATGTGATAGGTGGGTATGGCAGGAGGGGTCTGATTTTCTGTTTGATAGCTCTGTAACCAAACAAAATTGAAGACTATAAAAATTATGGTCTCTTTGAGCAGTAACGATTTTATAGAGAGTATTTTACGTTTAATTTCGTACATTTTAGAGGGGTGATGGATAAAATAGGGATGATGACATGTAAGACAAAATGTGTCATGTGTGTTGCACTAATAGAAATTCAGGATTTTTTTATATATTTCCTTGTAGAATTAATAACTTAAAACTTGAAAAAGTAGTTTAATAAAATTTTGAATGTAAGATATTAAAACTTTGTGTCATGGGCATTAAAGTGTATCCTGGCCGATAGGGTTAATACAAGGCAAAATGGCTGTGATTCATTCTGACAATTCAACCTTTGTCTCGTATATCAATTGAAAAGGGAGCACCCATTCACATTTGCTTTGTTTTCAGATCCTAGAACTCCTATTCTGGGCTCATTCACATCACCCATAGCTACTGATGTGTCATGATCCAGGTGCTCTGAATGTTGTTGCCGATTTACTGTCTCATCTCAACAGTATTCTCTCCACGTTGTGGTCCCTCGATCCTCAGGTGTTTTGGTGGTTGTGCAACTGGTGGTGTACTCCTCTTTTGGATGCATTTGCCACCCATCTCAATTCCAAGCTACCCCTTTTTTGGTCCCAAATTCACATCCTTTAGGTTTGATGGTGGCAGGATTGGTCCCACCTTTACCTTTATGTCTATCTACCTATCCATCTTCTTCCCAAGTTTTATCTATTATCCAGTCCACTCCATGTCACATTCTTTTCATTGCACCTTTTTGGCCTGCTCAACCATGGTTTCCGGTCCTGACTCTCCCTCAGTCAGCACCTCTGTTACTGCTTCCACATTCCTCCTCTCTGTGTCAACAATCTCAGTCAATGGTATATCATCTCAACATCACCATCTTCACGCGTAGCATTTGTCTGGTCCCTTACAAGGCAGGCTGGACTCCCCATGTGATAGCTTCCATTCTTTCAAATTTATTCTGTCCCTCCTCCTTAATGGTGTATGAGAGAAAATGGCATATTTTTGTTAGTGTTCTCTTGTACCATGGTTTCCTCCCTTCCCATCTTTCTGTTTATGATGTCTTTGATTTTTTACTTGGCTGTTTGACAGTGGTTCTTCTGTGTCTACCACTACTGGCTATAGAGCAGCCTTGTCCAATACCTTCCATTTCTCCCATTCTTGTTGACGGTTTTCCTTTCCTGTCCTCTCCCTTTTGTTTTGTTTCCTTTGTCTCCTTCAGCCTCTTCATCCTATAGCCCCTTCCAGATTTGGACCTCCATCTCCTTTATCATCATACCTATGTTCTCGTGTATCTAGATTGCAGTTTCTTTCCCAAGACAGTGTCAACTTGTAAAGGTGACATCACATTCTCACCTATTTCCCTATTTTCCATTTCCCATTTGTATTCCTGCTCTAATCTGGATTGTCTTCTCTGTCCTGTTTGTGCTCTTTGGTGTTATATTGCTCATATGGCTTCTTTCTGTAGTTCCTGTTTCAGTTTTTTATTTATTGGAACACTTCCGTGATATTTCCCTATTACAGGATAGATTCGCCAGCTTATCAGATTAGCTTATTCTTCTCTGTCTTCTGATTCCCAACATCTTTTCCAAGTGTCCTCTCATCAGATATAGCAACTCTTCCTTCCCTGGCTGCTCATTTATATCGTCCATTGGAGAAAATCAATCGGGCTGGCATTACAGAAGCTGTTTTCCCTTCTGCTTCCTTGTCTTGAGGTAAAAATGGTAGGGATTCTCCTACTGCAGACTTAAGGATAAATATCCATTGCTGCCAGGTTTTGGACTGAAGTTGACCCACCAGTTGCAGTCTGATGTGCCCTAGCCCTAGCCTAACTTAGTACATCCAATTGACTATTGGATGCTTCTTTCCTCTTGAATTAACAACACATATTTTCACAATGAGCAAAGAGTATACCTGGTTCAGATGTAGTGTAGTCTCCCATGAGTGTGTTCCTCTACAGAGAGAAGTCATACTCCATGGGCTCTCTTTCGACACTTTCTAAAGGGTGTTCATCTAGGTAGATTTTGCACTGGTCTTTCCACCAGTTCAATGTAGGATTCTAGCTATTATGTGAGTGGAGGTAAGATATTGTATTGGAAGTTATAATTTTTTTAAACTGTAATTGTGTTTCCAATAAATACTGACCTCCATCACACTTCCCACCCTTCTTCTCCACTTTTGCTGCTTCTTTTTTGCCCAATTTTGAAGTGAAGATTGTGTTCTACAGTATAGAGGGCATCAGCTGTGCCAGCAGGGTGTCACACTCCTATTGATGGAGTGTTTTTGCATGCTTATATGTATGCTACAGTGCAGCTGTACTACATTAAACATGTGGGGTAGGTGGGAATATCAAGGCTAGTGGCAAGCGAAAACATTTGTGCATATATAGTGCAACACTGAACAAGAAAAGCTATCATGTGAGGAGAGGTAAGTATCTATCTGAAATACATTTTCAATTTATAAAAATTATAGCATCAGTACAATCAGGGGTAACAAAGCAACCTGAAGACAAAATTATTAAATACTTACTTAATATTCAGAAGCCAGACTCTGTTATAATTTGAAAGAGCTCAAGTTGCAATGTTTTATATCATTTTATATTAAGCTTTCTTGAACCCATGTGTTTTTCTGACATCAAAAATAATTTCTCATGATACTGTTTTACTCTTAATAATGTTTCGGTGTTATCCCCATTAGAAAGATACAGGAATATTCTACAACAAACATCAGGTAAGGATATTTAGTGAGTACAGTAAACTGGGCTTTACTGCAAACTATTCAGATGATTCTATTCCTTTTTTATTGAAGATATTTTTAAAACAGCACACAAATACAATAACTTATTTATTGAAAACAAACTATAGCTATTAGATGTACATTAGTCTCGACCAAAAATATTATGGAAATATCATGTTACAACTTCTTACTGGGGTAACAGTGATGTCATTTTGAAATGTGAGATCATTAGTCAGTCATAAACCTTTGCAGGTCTGCTGTCTTTGTAAGATTTATAGCACAAAGTATTTCTGCATTGGAAAAATAATGTATTGAAATAAATGTTTTAATGAACATAAAGCAAGTTAAAACTGACCGAATATCTAATATGAAATTTTATGATGCTCATTAATAGAAGAAAAAAAATAATTTTTTTCCCAAGTAAAGATTTGAAAGAATTTAAAACCCAAAATATTATATATGTTCTAAGTCAAATTGTATTAGTTTTTTTAGACATTATTCAAAAGTTATATACCAAATTTCATAGAATTTGGCTGAGTATTTTCACTATGAGAACGTTTATGATGGATAGATGATTGTGGTACTCCCACAAGCATTAAAATAGTTAATTTTTTTTGGCTCGTGTAATTAAAAATTTGCTGTGAAAATCCAGCTTCGAACCTGCATGTATGATTTGTGATTGCACTGTAATATTGATAGATTAATTGTTATAAGATTTTAAAATACATTATTTCACAAAAGACCATTGTGATATAGAATTTCTCTTTACAGACAGTAAAGAACAATATTTTTTGTATATATATATATAATTAATACTATTAAGTTAAAAGCATACAATCATTAATACTAATACTACATTTAAAGTAAAAAATAAATGCATTTGGAATGGCAGTGCTTATATATTTCTCAATAAAATTTCCATATGTCACAGACAAATAACTTGATAAGCAACTACAAAAACTGATGTAATGAAGCAGACATGTCAGTCAATATTTGACATTTGTGAAGGAGTCATGCTTTAGGAAAGTTTGTATTACTCCAAAAGGAAAGTGTAATTTAAAACAAAACTTCTGGAGGGTATTTTAAGATAGTCATTACCTCCTGACACTGAGGTATAAACTAAATCATTCTTTCAAGTAATAAAACTATGCAAAGGTTAGTTTTGGTTAGTGTGTGACTTGTTAACAGGTTTAGTTGTAAGAAACTGGAAAATACTACATATTTCAGAAAGATTTGAATCACATTTCAAAAATGTAAGTTGTTCTAAGAACTCTTTAGTGAAAACCATGTCCAATAAGGTTTTTCATCCTATAACAGGACTCAGCAGGCTGGCTGGGATACAGTAGATATAATAATGGTTTAGATGAGGGATATATATATCATAAAGTTTAATGTATAATGACTGTTATGGGGAAACTTGTAACTGTAATTATTGTCAATCATATCTATCTTACTTACAAATTAGATTTTTATAGTAAAAATTAATAACACAAAACATTATTTATTTACAATTATTATTAATATTTTGTTTAAATTTACTATCATTCACAAGAACTATCATATAGGTGAATAAATTAAAAGTTTCACACAAAAAATCATATTTTCTGCTAAAGTTGTTTTATTTTTGAAGCATTTCTAATATCAGTTTGTAACAAAACAGTTAGATGAGTGCTTTATGAAATCTTTCTCAGTTTAACTGCTCAAACCGACACCAGCTCGATGTTGTAAGGGATAAGCAGTGTTGTTTATTTTTTATATTGATGGAAATGTAAATTTTAAAGTACAGAAGTTATGCTTTTTATAATATTAAATATGATAATATAAGATAATTTTGGTTTTCTTTTGACTGGCAGAAGTACTCTTAGATTCTTATTTGTACAGTTTAGACCATTCTTTGAGTGCAATTACATAAATCTAACAGTGTAAGTATTTCGTTTTAACCATGCAATTACTTGTATGTAACAATACATTTTTTCATCATTCTTATGGGTTAAAATTGTTAAGTTGAAAAAATTTGATTCTAGTGTGGTATTGTTAATAAAACAACAGCATGTATTTTACCATAGGTATCACCCCACATTCTAGTAACTGTGTTTGCTTCCAATCATTTGCCCATCCACATGGTTTACACAGAAGAAGCAAAGATATTTTATACTCTTAACCTAGGAACTTCACTTTTGGGCGTGCCATCAGGAGATACTAAGAGACTTAAGGACTTTCCAGATCTAGAGCCTAAAAATATTGAGTTAAGGGGAACTGGTTGGCAAGCTAGTTGTGCAGATATTGTCTTGTCTTCTGCAGGTAACATGTTTTTGAGTACAGTGATGTAATTTAAGTTTCTGACAAAGAAACATTGTTGAAAAAGTATGTTTGAATACACTAACTACTTTTTTAAGAATATGAACAAAAATATGGTTTGCCAAAATTTTATTCTGATTTTGAATTAACTTTCTTTAAGTGAAATTATTACCATCCAGGATTAAAACATCAAGAGTTTTGTAATATAGATTGCAAATACATAGCTTAAAAAAATTTTGATTGTTAATATTGAACATGGTTCATTTGTGAAAAGTAGTAAACAATCAATGTGTATGTAATAACATCTGATCTGCAAAATATTACAGATAAAACATTTGCAATTTATTTAAAAATATGTTTTATTATCTTGTAGGATAGTTCAACACTTGACATAAGCCCTTTTAATGACAAACGTGGCAATGTTAACACATGTACTAACTGTTAATGAAAAAAATAATGTCTAGGGGCATCAACAGAAATAGGGCTGTTAGCACATGTACTGATTTGAAAGAGTGTTTATAAGCTGTGTTAATTTTAAAAGTATAAGAGCCTTATGTTGTTACCAAATGTTGCCAATTACTCATTAAAGAGGCCCAATGGCTCAGTGTAAGGTTGAAGGCTTATCATGCTAAAATTTGAAGTTTGATTCTTATAGTGTGGAAATGCAGATAGTCCATTCTGCAGTTTTGGCTTGTGTAACTTGTGGAAAACGTGTCACGAATTTCACTTGTGCAACAGTTCTCACGGTATCCCTGAGATTTTTTTAACATATCCTCTCAAAAACTGGTAAGATTTTGTAAAAGATCATAAGTATCTTGTACACAAAGAATGACATTATTTTAATGTAGTGTTTTTACTAAAAATTTATTCATTGGAATTACTTGCACTTAAAATAGTTAACAAATTGAGTGCAAGGTGATTTTAATTTTAAGTACAAAAATACTATTCTTCATCTTATAGTTTCATATTTCATTTGCATAATCTCTAGAACCTCCTAAAACAATATCAAAAGCCTCTTAAGATGAATGTTTATATTTTATTTATAATTTTCTCTACCATATCACTAACTCTAGCTATTATCATAAATGTTCAATGCAATGAAATAATTAAAATTAGGAAATAGAAAAAAACACACACACACCTTTTAATTTTTTATATTCCTTTCTTGTCCTTTACCATTTATTATTCATCTCGAGACAAGTCACTGGTGCCCTCAAGGCATATTACAGTGTTTCTGGTAGGCATGTTACACCTTGAGAACTGAAGCAAAATATGATGTATATTTAAAAATATTTAAAACTTTCAATTATGCATTTTAAAAGATAACTAATACATAATTAACTAAAACATAATAGTGAGACCTAAATACAATTTAAACTGTATCTTTAACTATAACATATATAGTTCGGAAACAATACTACAGTCAGTTACATGTGCTTCAAGATGACAACTGCATGCCAGTTTCAAAATAATCATTGTTAGATTATAGAGTAACATCTGTTATTTCTAATTACTATACACATGTTATGTACACATCTACTTGTAGGCCACAAAGTTAAAGAAATCTGTTGAAAGTGGGTGTGGCACCTCTCAGGCATTGAAAAAATTGTATTACTTGTTTCAACTGTATTAATTCAGAACTTTGAAATGTACGAGTCAAAAGATTATGTAAGCATCTTAGAGTCTAGACATATTTCTATGCAACTGCCATTGTATTATTGAAGATACAGAGTGCCAAAGTAGAGAATTTTCATAGCTCATATGTCACGTGACAATACATCAGAAGTTTTAAGTAGTTTTTTAAAGGTTTTTTTAAATAAATGACTTAGTAGTTAGATAACATAAAACTTAAAATCATAACATGCATTATAATGCCAGTTTCATTCACGTGCATTGATAATAAAGGTGTATAATTAAATTTTGAATGTAACATAGTGATCTGCATAGAAAAGTGTTTAAAGGGGTACCCTTTGCAAAATGAAAAACAAGTTTATTTACAGTGGAAAGATGTAGAGAATAATTTTTATTACCATTCTAAACCATTTTAGTTTCATTTGTCATTTGAATTACAATAAAAATAGCAAATTGTTGTCCTGAAATTAACCTAATAAATTAATCAGGAAGAAATATGAACACATAAGTTTAACAGTAAAGCATTTTTAAAAATAGATTTTACAATTTAAGGTTGAATAATGTTACTTCTTGTAACATGTACAACTAAACAGTTACTACTTATTATTAAGTGCTTTTTGTCTTTAAAGGTTTCTCTGATTGAGAACTTTTGTCTTTTAGGTATGTTTGGTAAAACTTGTATACATATATAAGAAATAAAACATTTTTTTATTTTGTTAATTTTTTAAGATGTTTCTCATACTGTATAATGAATGGTGGTTTTCAGATTTAGAAGTTTATCATTGCTCAAAAATGTGTGGATGATAATGATCAAGTGTTAGTGGGAACTCGGGAAATAGTTTTGTTGATTGCAAGAAATCATATACAGATAGTTGAATACATTATACTAAAACAATTTTGAATATGAAACTCAGCAACTTCCACAGCCAATATAAAGTCATGGTGGAATGTGATGTATCAGAAACTGGATTTTGACATTGCTTCGTATTGTTTAGGTAGTGTGATGCCACTGAAGATTGATTGTTTTTGGGAAGGGTATGTAACAACTTTTTGGAGACACAATTTTCGTACATTCAAATCATAACTGTTTTAAGATTGGTAATGTGGAATTTCCAAGATGAGGACATCCCTTGTATGTAATGACATTAGGCAACAATAGAATACTGATCAGTTATTGATCAAATTGGGGTACTCCAGAAAAAGACCTGTAACAAATCATACCCTGGCTGTTGTAAGCAAATTGCAATATTCTGTAATAAGTGAAAATCCAAGAGCATGAAGGTCATGTGCAATAGCCTTCCATATATATGTCAGGCAACAGCAAACAACATGATCAAGAATATTCTCCATCTGGAAACAAGACCAACAGAGTATGGGTTCACAAGTATAAGGCTACCAATCATACTTCACACTCAACCATTGCATACTTCAAGCAGCTGGAGAATGAAACAGTGCCAAGACATGCAGGTCTTGTTGCCAGATTTAGCATCTGTTGTTTTCTGTATGATCAAACTGTTGTAACAGGTGTCGTGTAACTGTTGGCTTCATATACTAGAAGGATTATAAAGAGCAAGCAAGCAAGAAGGGGTACTTTAGTCATGAGAACCTTTTGACAGAATATCTTATCATAATTAGGAAGTTGAATGACTGAGAGCAAATTGTAATAACATTCTACTGTCTTAAACCTAGTTAGTTGTTTCTCTTGAAGTGCCTGTAACTAGCTGCAGTATGATTCTTATAAATAGATGCTAAAACATAACTAACTATATTTACATCATCAAATATGTGTATACCTATAACTTATTTGGTGATGTTTACATTTCATAAACTCATAGTTTGATTATAGAAAAAACGGTGTTATTTAAGGATGGCAGTAAATGCATAACTCACATCACATAGATAAGACAGCTCTGCTCAGTAGTTAGTGATTGTCAGTACAAATCACTGTAAGTGGTAATGCTTTAATAGTTTTTTTCTAGTATTATTTGGAGAACATTTCACTGAAGTTCCAACCACACACAGAAGCTTGTAACATAGCTTTAGAACTTCACATCAAAGACCCTAACCCACTGATATGCATCCCCAGCAACCAACTAGAAACTTTTTTAGAATTTACTACCTCAAAACTCTACTTTCAATTTCAAGCCCTTTGGAAAGAATGAAGTTTGTGCATTGAGCTACTGTTGGAAAAGTTCAAGGCTACACATGAACCAATCATTTTAATTTTAAATAAATCAAAAGAGTAAATTATGACAGAAAAACCCAGTTACTTTCAGAAAGTGGTCATTATTTTTCTATAGGTATAAACAAGAATTACCTTTTTTCTGGCAAAATTACAAAACTTTTATTATGCCATGTATTGTGTAGAAAGGATGATGCGAAGTCCATTTACAGTTATATTACCAGTGCAGCATTGTATCTATCTCAGGCAGAAGTGGAGCCAAAACAAGCTTTAGTGGCAATATTGTACAACAAGCAAGCAGGTGTACTTTTTAATATTAATGAAAAATAGAGTAAGCTTTCCACTGAACATAGATCAGTAAAAATGTTATAAGAATATATATGTGCAAAAAAAAGAAATGATATAGGTGTTTACAGGCTCATTAAAAAACAAAGTTTTTTTTTGTATTTAGTATAAGCAAACCAACATTTTAAAAAAGGTGCTCATAAATTTATTAAAAATCAAACTTAATAGAAATTTACCCAAGTTTTAGCTTACTGAAAGGAAATCAATCATAGATTACACTTTGGTAAACCAAAACATTTAGGAATTAATCTTTATTGGATTTGAATTTAAGTAGGCGTGTTCCTTTTAAATTTTTTAATGTATGTTTTGAGTTATGAATAATGATTTTTGTTGTAGGTTGGATAGCAATAACCTTGGAACATGACCAGATGTGTCACTTAAAAATCTATACACCTGGTGGTCGTGGTTGTTTTATTAGACAACCAGCCTTACTTCCATATGCTTTAAAGTTGAAAGGCAAGAAAATACGTGGGACTCCTGCATTTGAGAACAAAAAAGCAAGTATCGTTGGGAAGTAAATGTTTTAATAACGTTCTGTAGAATTTAACATGATCATGAAATCTAGACTTATAAGAACTCGTGTATGAAAGTAATCAAGGAAAGGATCACAATCTAAGTGTATATTTTTATTATTATTATTGCTGAATATAATGACTTACTAATGGTAATTGTGTATGTCACAGTATTAATAAATTTGATATTGACTGTCCTTTGCTTGTGAAATTTGAAAGTTTTATAATTGATTTCTCAGACATCTTATACCCTACTAATAGTTTGTATATCTTTTTGTAATTTCTTGGTTGGCCACAGAAAGTTTCTCATTTGCTGTTTTTTTATAATCTGAACAACTGTTATCTTTATAGTGATTGATCTTCATTACTCAAAGATTCATTTCAAATTCAAGTTAGACAGTATCAGAAAAGTTCATTATTTGCTCCCAAAAAAAGACAAGAAAAATGTTAATAATGTAGTTTAATAAACTTGATAAAATATAGAGAACTGTGAATTTTTCTGATTTTGGTTTAAATATTTTTATTAAATGGGAAAAATTGGGATTACATGTTATGTAATACAGTAGTCCCTCTGAGATACGACTGACCTATCTGCCATGTTAAAAAAGTCGTATCTGACAGGAAGTCATTATTCAAATATTCAATAATGAATGACCGAGTTCAAGCTGTGCCAGTTGCTATTCCCAGGGGTTGAGCATAATGGTTTATATACTGTATAGGTAGTCAGATAACATAGCAAATGGATACACTGTATAATAATAGTTATGATGGATAACAGTTCAATAAAGATAACTTAAAGTTGTTTTGTTTGTTTTATGTAAAATAATTTATTCATCGATCACATTTATTTCATAAACATCCATGTAGAACGTTTTTATTACATACATATAAAATATTACAAACTGTCACAAAATTTATTTCATAACAAATCATTCATCTTTGTTTGTTTTGCACATTTAACAGAGTCACTTTGAATGTTCATGAGTCTGGCAGTTATTTTATCAGGAGTGTTTCATTGTTAGTTTTCAGCACACAATTTTATTATCAATTTATAAAATAACGTGCAATAAATGTCTAGAATTCTACATCAGATAAACCGAAAGAAAATTAGAAACTAGATTCCCTGAACATAGTAAAAAACATCTCATACTTGTATTTACCATCATTGCAACTCAAAAAATCCACAGTATATATATATATACAAAATAATTGAATTTTAAACAAAGAACCAAACATTGGAAGGTTTACTTAACTGAACAAAACAGCCCTACCCTAAACCCAAATTTCACCTTGAAACTTGGATCCTTTGATCACAGCTCTAAAAAGGGACCATTCTGCAAATTTAGAAAGTCAGTAAAGAAATAAGATAAATATCTGAAGTAAATTATTGCTAGACTCTGTTCAATACATAAAAAGGTAATCCTCTCTGAATACAAATACAACATAAAAATGTAATATGTTGCATTAAAACAATTTCAAGTTGACTAAAAATTTCTGACTGCCCCTAGTTACCTTTTAGGACCTGAAAGTTTTAGAACCAAAATACCTATGTATATGTACCAAGGAGTTTGACTTGAATACCCCGGGGTATCAAGATATGTATACTAAGCTGTGAAGCAATCTCTGGTCATGTGACCTCTTTTTTCCGTACTGTATGCACTGTATTTATTTGTCTCTGTAAATTACATTATTGATATGAAAAGAAGTTGTTATAGAGAGAACGTTATTTGACCTTCCACCCAAAAATCATGGTCATATGTCACATCTGTCAGGAAGTTGTTTGTGGGAGGTCAGATCAATGTAAAATCGTTCCGTGCACAGAAAAAAAGGTCATATTTAAAAGGAAGTCATTATTGGAGGGGTTGTATCCACCAGGGACTACTGTATTGACAATAAATAAGTAAATAATTTATATTCTAAAGAAAAGTATATAAAATACTGAATTATATATTAAGGTAATTTGTTACATAAAACTTGAACAAACTGTACAATTAAAGTTAAATAATTTCAATATATTATTGATTTTATTCAAGACATTATGATAACCCGTCTATATTTTTTCCTAAGTTCAACACTATGCTAGTATAACAGTTACACCCCAAAAAAAGCAGTTTTTTAGTAGCTTCTTTCATGAAAAACTCAAGGACATTCTAGAAAACAAATCTTTTTAACAATGTTTTTTTACTTTCTGAATTTTGACTTAAGCAAGAGTTTGAGATAAACTTATAAAGATATTATGTGGCTGAGAAATTACTACATGTAGATCTTCTATAATTTGAAAACAAGGAAGAAATAGTTCTTTGAATTAAATGTTATCTTAGAGTAAACAAGTATTAATGTATTTTAATGAAATTGTATAGCAAGTTTAAAATTAAGATAGTTACTTCAGTGAAAATGCTTATGCTAAAATTTGTTTCATGCCAAAAGCAATCAACACTAGTATTACATTTAAAAATTTATAAATTATGCTGAAATAACTAAGCTTCTGTATAATATTGATATCAAACATTACTGCAAAAAAAAATGTTTTACAGAAAACAAATTAAATTTTAAAGTAATTTGCTACAAAAGTTTTGGTTTTATTCAAAAAGGTTCATATTGAAATAATACAAGTCTAAGGTTATATATGAATTTTGAAGAAGTATGGTTGAACTGTTTATGTATAAGTATAATGTCATTATAAGTTGATTTTGTTTTAATAATAAAGAAAGTTGCTTCTGCTTTTAAATAAATAAAAACATTTTAGGGTATTACTTTTTGAACATAACCAGTAAACAAGCGACCATTTGGCCCTTTAACCAACTCACTGATGCACATCCTCAGTAACCATCTAACAACTCTTAGAATTTACTACCTCAAAAATGAATTTTATGTTCAACAACCAAAACTACATAGAAGATTACAAGTATCTTGTACGCAAAGAATGACATTATTTTGATTAAGTATTTCTTCTAAAAATATGTTATTTATTTATTGTAGTTATTTGCACTCAAATTGTTAATAGTTCTTGTGCAAGGTGAGTTTTAGTTTAAGTATAAAAATACTTTTCTTCATCTTAATTTTCAAGTTCCATTTGCATAACCTCTAGAAGAACCTCCTAAATAAATATCAAATGTTTTTTAAGGTAATTGTTTATATTTTTCATTTTCTCTATGATATCACTAACTCTAGCTATTATCATCGATGTACAATGCAATGAAATGATTAAAATTAGGAAATAGAAAAAAAAGTACATATCTTTCAATTTTTTGTAGAATATCTTAAAAGATCTTATTTTGGTTATATTAGTAATTTTAGGTCTTTTCCTTTTCACATATAGTTAATTTATAATGTTTTATTTTCCTTTCCTGTCCTTTACCTTTTATTATTCATCTCGTGACAAGTCAACGGTGCCCTTGAGGTGTAATTACAGTATCTTGTGCAGAAATGCACAAGTCTTTGGTTAAATTATTTTACACTTGCTCAAGATATTAACCTTGAGAACTGACACAAAGTATGATGTACACTTAAAAATGAGTAAACCATTCAATTATGCATTTCAAAGATAAATAATACATAATTTACTAAGAACTAAATACAATTTAACTGTCTCTCTAACTATAGCATATTTAGCTGAGAAAAAAACTATAAGTGCTATCATAGATAAAGCGGCCAACAATACTACAGGCAGTTGCATCTACCAGATGACAACAACTGTGTGCCAATTTCAAAATAACTAATAATAATTTCTAATGACTGTATACATATATATGTAGCAATCACATGTATGTTACAAAACTCAAGCAAAAGTATAGAAGGTTGGTGCGGCACCCATAAGGGTTTGAAAAAATTTATTACTTGTTTCTACTCCATTCAGCTAGAGAACTTTGAAACTAAAGTGTCAATAGGACAACTACATGTATTTTAAAGGTTTCTTTTGAAATAAAGGAATTAAAACTTAAATAACATAAAACTTTTAATCATAACATACATTATAATGTTAATTTCATTCACATACATTGATAATAAAGATGTTTAAAGGTGTATCTGGAGAGGAAAAGGTAAGGTAGTCATTGCACACCCACCCAGAGAAAAGTAAAAATTTAAACCTACCTTTTATTTCTTAGGAAATTGTGGATTGCCTTAATAAATTGTGTCTGAACAGACAGTTACTAAATATAAATATGTGAAACATTTTTATCCCTTATAAATTGCTTTCAAAGATATCAATTTCAGCATTTTAATTTCATATCATATAGATTTTTTGATAATATACCAGTTACTATTGCTTTTCAAAACAATGTATTGGGTTTGCATTTAATATTGAGACTGGGGTATGTTACATTAAAAAATATAATTTCTCAGTTCTAGTACTCTTGGTTTCTTTCCACTGCATTCTCTTACAGTCACCACCGTTTGTAATACTAGTATTCCATGGTTAAAATAATACAAGCCAAAATGACCCTGTGCTTTTGAATGGGTTTATTAAATAAATATATCACAAAAAATAGGTAAGTTAACACATTCAGTGCTGCTTTGGCAATCAGTACCCATGTCAAAGGCTGTTGATTTTATGTTTTAATTAGGAGCATTTTAATAATGCAAACTAATATCAGATAGAATATTTGTAGGTATATATGCTTATTCAATTAAAGTCTGTACCGTGATGCATATGTGCATCATTAGCACTGCAGCTAAAATTATTTTATGAGTGCTGATGACACTCATGTGTATCATCTAGTTTTTATATCTTGTCCTGGTTTTGGGGTATGCTTTGAATCTACAAGAAGGGTATATTATAATCATGGGAATATCACATCAAGGTTTCTGTGGGTCTTTGAATTCTACTTTCTTATCATGGGCTTTGAAGGAACACTATTTTTATCCATTTAATAGAAATCAACCAGAAGATATATATATAAAATGAAAAAAATTTACAACCAAACAAAATTTCTATGAGAGGAGACCCTCACATGAGTGCAATCACAGCAGAACTGACTTGTAGCACATTCTAACTCCAATAAAATGCATTTACCTCAATAGCTGAGTTGACACACTTATGCATCCAGTTGAAGTGAATATGTTAATAACATTAGCCCTGTGTGTGTTTTTCAAGCTACAGGTTCAATGATTTATCATGATAAATTAGGTTGGTTCAAGTTACTAAATTCTGTATTTTTAGTATAATGGTTTAAGCAACTAGATCAGCACTGTGAGTTACACTATACATGGTGTATGTGTGCATTACTTAGTGTTATTGAAAAAACTAATTCAGCTGACCCTGTTTGTAAGCTTGTTTTATAAATTTATTGATACACTATAATGAATTATCTAGCTAGGCTTCTTTAACAAATCATATTTTTTTTGTGTAATTTAAAGCATAAAAGAAATATTTAGGCCTAGTTACCAAAAAGAGTTAGATTTAACAAGAATTTTTTGTCCTTTTCATATTTACAAAATTTCTTTTTGAATATACATGTAGTTATTTGTGTAACAGTTGAAACAATTGCTAGTTTTATCCTTCTTCAACCATATGGATATGGGTACCCCTTTCTGCACATGTCACAAGGTTTTACCAAGTTACATTCAAAATTTAATTATGCAACTTTACTAGCAATATACGTAAATGAAATTAGCAGTGTTTTATATCATTTACATTTTAATTCCTTTATTTCAAAAGAAACTTTTTTTCAAAAAACTTAATCATCAGTTTTGTTGTCCTGCTATACACAAGCATTTACAAGTCTCGGGTTTCAGTCTTTGTAACTTAAGTAATTCTTCTCATACAGTAGACTTTAATGTATAGACTGAAACTAAGTGAATTGCTCTGTTTACACATCCTCCCTTCAAATTACTTAGGGTAATTTCCAAGAGAGGAAAAATAAATCTCCCTTGGAAGCTTATACGAGTTTGATCTTCTATTTGTATCTACTCTTTAGGATGGTGCAAACCTATCTCAAGGATGACACAGATATTTATACAAGTTGTTAAGGGGTATGTGTTATTTGGTACAGTCATTGACACGGACAATCTAAGGATTGTAGAATACTACACTAGGCCTGTAGTCTGACTTGTGAGGAAAATAATAGTCACTTGAGCAGGATGAAAGATTTAGGATTTGAGACAGTAGTAATGACAACAGCAGATTTAT